AAAATTCATCACGATTGAGATCTCTATTGGGGTCCTTTTTTAAATAATACAATTAGTTTTCTTCGCATAAGACGATTACTTAAGAACACATTTGATGGTTATTTCTTGTAGCAAAATAAGGATTCTACAATTAAAAACTCCGTCCCTCGGCTTACGACAAATAAAAAAAAAATCATCAGAATTGAGACAGGGTGGGTGGGCGGGGCTTACATTATGCCTTTGTTTCTTAATACACATGGCCATCTTTTCACAAGAAACTTAGAACATGGTTAAAATGGTACATTTTTGCAAGGAAATTTGGATTTTGCAATTATGGAACGGACCCCAATTTCAAAACCGATATTTCCTTATACCAATTTTTCATATTAAACATGTTTTAAGTTTCATGTTGTGAAAAGAAGTCTACCCATATTAAAACAAATAGGCAAAATGTAAGCCCGCCCACCCGCCCTGTTGCTATTGTGATGAATTTTTATATTTGCCGTGAATCAAGAGAGGTGAGCTTAACTGCAAAATTAGTTCTTTACGAGGAACTAAAAACATGTTTTTGAGTATTGTGTTGTTCAAAAATCCTATGTATATCAAGAAAAAAAGGGCAACATATTAACCCCGCCCACCCACCCCATCTCAATTGTGATATTTTTTTTTATTCTAAAAAACTTGAAACACATTGAAAATGATAATTTTTTGTAAGGAAATACGTGATTTGCAATTAGGCTTCGCTCTTGGGTTTGACAACGAATGAAAAATTCATCACGATTGAGATCTCTATTGGTTTTCTTTTTTAAATGATACAATTAGTTTTCTTCGCATAACACGATTACTTAAGAACATATTTCATGGTTATTTCTCGTAGCAAAATAAGGATTCTACAATTAAACTCCGCCCCTCGGCTTACGACAAATAAAAAAAAAATCATCAGAATTGAGATAGGGCGGGTGGGTGGGGCTTATATTTTGCCTTTGTTTCTTAATACACATGGCCATCTTTTCACAACAAGAAACTTAGAACATGATTAAAATGGTACATTTTTGCAAGGAGATTTGGATTTTTGCAATTATGGAACGGAGCCCAATTGCAAAATCGATATTTCCTATACAAATTTTCCATTTTAAACATGTTTTAAGTTTCATGTTGTGACAAGAAGTCTACACATATTAGAATAAAAAGACAAAATGTAAGCCCGCCCACCCGCCCTATCGCTATTGTGATTAATTTTTTTATTCGCCGTGAGCCCAGGGAGGTGAGCTTAACTACAAAATTATTTCTTTACGAGGAACTTAAATAAAAACATGTTTTTGAGTATTGTGTTGTTCAAAAATCCTATGTATATTAAGAAAAAAAAGGCAACATATTAACATCGCCCATCACCCCATCTCAATTGTGATATTTATTTTTTTTTCTAAAAAACTTGACACACATGGAAAGTCGTAAATTTGCACAGGGAAATATCGATTTTGCAATTAGGCTTCGCTCTTGGATTTGACAACGAATGAAAAATTCATCACGATTGACATCTCTTTTGGTTTTTTTTTTAAATGATACAATTAGTTTTCTTCGCATAACATGATTAGGTAAGAACATATTTCACATGGTTATTTCTCGTAGCAAAATAAGGATTCTACAATTAAACTCCGCCCCTCGGCTTACGACAAATAAAAAAAAATCATCAGAATTGAGATAGGGTGGGTGGGCGGGGCTTATATTATGCCTTTGTTTCTTAATACACATGGCCATATTTTCACAACAAGAAACTTAGAACATGGTTAAAATGGTACATTTTTGCAAGGAAATTTGGATTTTGCAATTATGGAACGGAGTCCAATTTCAAAACCGATATTTCCTTATACCAATTTTTCATATTAAACATGTTTTAAGTTTCATGTTGTGAAAAGAAGTCTACACATATTAAAAAAAAAGGCAAAATGTAAGCCCGCCCACCCGCCCTATCGCTATTGTGATGAATTTTTTTATTCGCCGTGAATCCAAGGAGGTAAGCTTAATTTCAAAATTATTTCTTTACGAGGAACTTAAAAACATGTTTTTGAGAATTGTGTTGTTCAAAAATCCTATGTATATTAAGAAAAAAAGGCAACATTTTAACCCCGCCCACCCACCCCATCTCAATTGTGATTTTTTTTTTATTCTGAAAACTTCAAACACATTGAAAATGGTAAATTTTTGTAAGGAAATATGGATTTTGCAATTAGGCTCCGCCCTTAGGTCTGAAAACGAATAAAAAATTCATCGCGATTGAGATCTCTATTGGGGTCCTTTTTTAAATAATACAATTAGTTTTCTTCGCATAAGACGATTACTTAAGAACATATTTCATTGTTATTTCTTGTAGCAAAATAAGGATTCTACAATTAAACTCCGCCCCTCGGCTTACGACAAATAAAAAAAAATCATCAGAATTGAGATAGGGTGGGTGGGTGGGACTTATACTATGCCTTTGTTTCTTACTACACATGGCCATCTTTGCACAACAAGAAACTTAGAACATGGTCAAAATGGTACATTTTTGCAAGGCAATTTGGATTTTGCAATTACAGAGCGGAGCCCAATTTGCAAAATCGATATTTCCTTTACAACTTTTTCATATTAAACATGTTTTAAGTTTCATATTGTGAAAAGAAGTCTATACATATTAGAATAAAAAGGCAAAATGTAAGCCCGCCCACCCGCCCTGTCTCTATTGTGATGATTTTTTTTATTCGCCGTGAATCCAGGGAGGTGAGCTTAACTGCAAAATTATTTCTTTACGAGGAACTTAAAAACATGTTTTTGAGTATTGTGTTGTTCAAAAATCCTATGTATATTAAGAAAAAAAGGCAACATATTAACCCCGCCCACCCACCCCATCTCAATTGTGATTTTTTTTTTATTCTGAAAACTTGAAACACATTGAAAATGGTACATTTTTGTAAGGAAATATGGATTTTGCAATTAGGGTTCGCTCTTGGGTTTGAGAACGAATAAAAAATTCATCACGATTGAGATCTCTATTGGGGTCCTTTTTTAAATAATACAATTAGCTTTCTTCGCATAAGACGATTACTTAAGAACATATTTCATGGTTATTTCTCGTAGCAAAATAAGGATTCTACAATTAAACTCCGCCCCTCGGCTTACGACAAATAAAAAAGAAATCATCAGAATTGAGATAGGGTGGGTGGGCGGGGCTTATATTTTGCCTTTGTTTCTCAATACACATGGCCATCTTTTCACAATAAGAAACTTAGAACATGGTTAAAATGGTACATTTTTGCAAGGAAATTTGGATTTGCAATTATGGAGCGAAGCCCAATTGCAAAATCGATATTTCCTATACAAATTTTCCATTTTAAACATGTTTTAAGTTTTATGTTGTGAAAAGAAGTCTACCCATATTAAAACAAAAAGGCAAAATGTAAGCCCGCCCACCCGCCCTATCGCTATCGTGATGAATTTTTTTCTTCGCCGTGAGCCCAGGGAGGTGAGCTTAACTGCAAAATTATTTCTTTACGAATAACTTAAAAACATGTTTTTGAATATTGTGTTGTTCACAAATCCTATGTATATTAAGAAAAAAAAGGCAACATATTAACAAAATTCATCACGATTGAGATCTCTATTGGGGTCCTTTTTTAAATAGTACAATTAGTTTTCTTCGCATAAGACGATTACTTAAGAACATATTTCATGGTTATTTCTTGTAGCAAAATAAGGATTCTGCAATTAAACTCCGCCCGTCGGCTTACGACAAATAAAAAAAAAATCATCAGAATTGAGATAGGGTGGGTGGGCGGGGCTTATATTATGCCTTTGTTTCTTAATACACATGGCCATCTTTTCACAACAAGAAACTTAGAACATGGGATAAAATGTTAGTGAGTTAACGAGAATTTCTGGACGAATGCGTTCCTGTAACTCTTTAATGTGAGTCGGTCTATTGATATAAGTAAGCACCCCTTCGGCCTATCCATCTGCCACGAAAAATTTCATTCAAGTATTGTCGCACCTGACGTCCAAAATGGGGTGCAACACCGTCTTGTTGAAACCAAATAGTTTCTGCTGATTTTGGTATTTGGGAAACAATTCTCTAAGTCTAGGCAACAAGTATCCCTCAGAAATTAAATTTCCATTAATAAAAAAAGTGGTTTTGGAATTTTCTGTTGCGTGCAAGAGGACACTATGAGTATTTTCATCAACTGTAGCAAGTTTTGGCCTGCCAGGTGTTAGACGTTCCTTAATATTTCCAGTTTCATTAACTCTTCGTAGGGTTTTTGAAACCGTCTGAGCTGACCTGACCTGACTTGAGAATGTTTAAATTTAATGCAATCTCGGCCTTTCTGAACAAATCCCGATAATATGCCTACGCATTGTTTAACTATACAAAAACTGTCCAAGTGGAACGGCCATTTTCAAAAAAGTGAGGTTAACGTAAACTCAAAAACTTTTGTCGTTGATTTATAGTTAACAACACAACACACAAGTTACAAATGAAATAAATGATATCTTATCACGCATCGCTGCTAATATAAAACCAAACTGAAACTTCCAAAAAGTGCCATTGCCATTTAGCACTCTCTCGAACATGGAACAAAATTCTCGCCAGAAGAGGTCTGTCTTTTTCCAAAAAAGTTGGCAGAAAAACTCAAGAGTAAATGAAATATGAATCACGATTCTCAGAATCAAAAATGCGATAAGAAAAGTTTCATCATCCCGTGCATTGGCACCGCCTTCGCTTAAACCCTGGACCCGCCAAGACTAACCCCTTGGGTGAATTTCTTCGCGCTACGTCACTGTTCCTCCCCAAGCCGCCCCCGTTCCGCCACCTCCGAGCACGTTTCCCCGACTGTCTAGCCCCGGCCAGCGCAGCCCCGGGGTGCTAATTGGCCGCTAATCCACTCTATAAATCTGACCTCCACTGTTAAACGATCCCAACGAGCGCGAAATTGCCTTTAATCAGATAAGTAAGTGCCGTTTAGGGGCGATTAGGGCCACCTTCCACTTACGTTTATCTTCACTGAAGCAGGGACATCATGCCGAAGAGCTCCTCGTAGACATCGATCGACGCGACACTCGCACAACACACTGCACGCACTCGCTGCTACCGCTCGAACACGCCGACACTGACGGGAATGACACTGATGACAGGAGAAACGTCAATCTGAGGCTGTTTTCCTGACAATCGACGGTGGCGACGTTGTCACTGCACACTCGATTTTCCGCTACTGGATCGCCGAAATCACGTTTCCCGTGATCGGGCTGTCATTCGGGCGAGATGCGCGGTTTGGCCAATCCCATGCGGGAGGAGGAGAACGCGCATGCCGTGGGACATTTGAATAACAATTTCGTCTATTAAAATTGTTATGATCGCGTCTTATTAATAACGGACGCGAATATTATGAGTACACACGTTGATTTCGTAAACAGATTAATGCGCTCAATTGGCGGAGGGAGAGGGGGCGATGGAGCGAGGCGAGTGGGAGAGAAACGGGAGAGAATCACATGTCACATGATTGGGCGGGCGAAAAATTGACGTCGAAGGAGCGGACGGGGCGACCCCTGGCGGACGCGGGCGAAGGCTAGCGATCGGCAACGAAGAATCCAGTAATCAACACTTACCGTTTACAAATCTACAAAAATTATTCAAAGTAATTTCAAAATATGCACGACTAATAATAAATTGTAAAATACGTGTCCATACATTTATTCATAATAGTATTAAATATACTTGTATTTTGTGTTGCATAACTTAGAAAGACAGCAAAGACAAGGCAAAACGCCAACCCATTTTGCGCCTTTATTTTAACAGTTGAAGAGCAGGGCGATACATGTGCGTGCTCATGACATAAAAATCTTTAAGGAAGCGCCTTGTATTTTTTAAAAAACGTAGCAGTTTTTAAAATAAAAAATAAAGTGCGTAAAACCCCAGCGGATTTTTAGCGAAAACTATAACTCGGTGTGCTTTTAAAAAATATCGAGGTGATAGAGATTTTTTTTCTAGTTTAGGCGCCATTCTTCGTTTTCTGTTAAAATTTTACTTCTTTTAGTTATTGTAAAAAAACTGCAAAGCATTTTGGGCAAATTTTGGTAAGTTAGGCAACCCAAAATATTAGCTGAGTCGGTAAGCTGTAATTTATGGCCCACACAATAGAGCACCTTTTAAATACCTTAAGCTTATTTGACCACCTTTTGACGTACCTGACAATAGCATTAAGAAGGATATATACATCTTTTAGTTATATGCACTGGACCCTGTTATACCTGATACATACCTATAGTTGTGGTTCGGGTTCAAACTAGGTAATTGTAATAACTGCATTTATTGAACAATAAATTAATGATTTTATTTTTAATAGCTCTTTAATATTTTTACTGCAAGCCGCATATGAACATTTAATCTCTGCAATTGAATTAGAATTTATTAACCCATCTGGAGAAGCTCCTAAAAATTGTTTTCAAATTTGTTAGAGCTTCAAATTTTTCTTTGGCCTTTTCTTCATTGTCAATAGCAAATTGTATAGACTTGGGCAATTTTTTCATAAAGTTTTATCGGAATGCACAATACTTTTAACGGTATTTGCGATGTTAATTCCGTCTCTCATTTTGTCCTTTCTTTACTCCATTCCCTACACATTCGCTGACCACAAGTACCTTTTTCAATAGCATTTACGTTACTCTGTGACAGCTTTATTAATAAATCCGATTTTTTTCTTTCATACACTTCGTTTTCGTTTGTTCATCGTTGACGATATTATTTTTACCGGAATCCAGACTTCGGATACGCAATTTTTTAATAGAGGTTTTAGTTTTATTAATCGTTTTTGTTTTTTTCAATTTTTGTTCCACAAACGCCTTCGTATACTCACATTGGCCTCCCCATTTTTTTCTTTTTTTTTGAATAACGGAATTAGGAACGTACCCTTATTATTATAACTTATTGCCGCAGCAAAGCATCACCCTTGATACGATCCTCGTGCAGAGAAACTTAAAAACTTATTCTTTTTCCTCCCACAAATTTATTAACGACAGAATTGTAGCATTCCACAGCATTGTTCTCAATATCAAAAAGTAAACTAGACGACAAAGTTGCAATTCTATTTAAAACTTGTTTGTAAGGTTCGTATAAAACACCATTTGCGAAAGTAGAAAATAAAATATCATTTGACTGTCCACTTTTATAACAAAAATAACTTGCACATTGTTCGTGATTGCCAAATATATGCTGGAAAAGAAGGAAGAGGCTCATTTTTGCTAAATTTAATAGCACTTATAATAGCTGTTCTAAATTTTAGAATACTATTTTTAAAGACATTTTTAATAGTGATATCTGCTTTCGTTGTTTTAACTATTTCTCTAATTTTGGAACAATACTTACGAAGTATGTGATTTCTACATTCAATTTTTTCCATAAAATAATATGCATCATTTGGTTTTGCAGCCCGAACTTTTTTTAATACGCTACTATCCTCGTCGCCTATAATTCTCCTAAAAAGTATCTAAAGTAAATCCCTCTAAGATAATTGAAGCTTTCATGGACACTTTCATGTTTGCTCCCAGTTTTTAAAACAGGTATGTGTTGGAATTTCTTTTTTCTGTTTCATATAGATTTTACAGAAACTACAAAGTTTGTTTTTGACTCCTACATAAAGTATTTTTTTAGTTCTGGCACCAATTATACGTCCTACCCCAGACAGTGCATTGTAACGGTAGTATATGGGACGCAGTCATTATCTACCTCCCTCGCCTTCACAGCTAATCGGTACTCTTCTTTACCTGCGTTTTGGTTTGTTCTTCGAAAAGTGCTTCGATGCTTTTTAGAACTCTACCTCGGCTTTACGATATGTCGCCTGGGGTTTTTGAGGGATATCTAGAGCTGAACAAAATTCTGAAATTTGAGAATAACCTACGACCGTTGATCTAACTCCACAAATAGCTGCATAATTGACTTTGTATATATGATTTTCAGGTTCTGTACAAAAATTACCGAATATTCCGTACATATTACATTTGTAGTAGAAAACACTTTTTAAACCATAACACTGATTGATTTTAGTGTTGTTAATAAGTGGCCTATGTCAACAATTCTATGTCCAGTACTAATTTCTCGACGTGTCATGACCTCTAGAGTACGAAAAAAGTGGTCTCCCGTTTCCGTATGTCTGTCTGTCTGTCTGTTTATCTGTCTATCTGTCTGTCTGGAGTCTGTATCGATTTTTTATTAGACAAGTGTTCTTCGAAACTACTGGATCGATTATTGCCATATTTTGTATGTATATTAGAAATATCATGTAGATGGTTAAACGCTAACTAAAATTTGGCAAATCATCTCCACCACCAATGGGATGACGTCATCTCCAAAATTTATAATACAAAGTTTTTTAAATTTGATAAAATTAGATACTCCTGCACTTGTGGTGTGTAAATCCGTGTAGAATTTTCACCCTAGACATCTAGAATTTTTGGACAAAATTTTAACATATCCGGGTTCTCATAAAAAAAATTAAATTCGCATAATCAAATTTTATAATTTTTCGAAAAAGCTGGGTTTGTTTTATTGTATTGCAGAGGCGAGAGAAGTTCTGTTGAAATAACCTTCCACCAATTTGCTTCATTCAAAATACATCCCGAGAGGTAACTAGGTATGTACCTACCTAAATTTCTAAGATTTCGGGTTGAAAAATTCCAAGATTACTAAGAAATACTCACAATAACGAACCTTCGTACCTACAATAAAATATTCTTGGAAATTTAATTTTACTTTTCTACCTACTTACAGAATATGCCCAACACGTACGAATTTTTATGGAAACAGGAATTTAAAAATAAGAGGAAGAATTATGGTCGGAATTATATATATGAACAAGCATTTTTTTGTTGTGTGTATTGCGAGTAAAGATCTCAACAGTCTCTGACAATGATTTTATTAATTTATTTTAAAACACACATTTGGCTTTTTTCTTTTCTTATGACAGTAAATTAGGTTAAACCGCATATCAAAAATTCTCTTTCAAGGGACTTTATGCTAAAAAAAGGTAGGAGGTGCTATTTAAAAAATTATCGATGACGTCATACACCTGTCAAATATCGCTCAAAACTTTTGAAACTAATATTACAAAATGGCAATTTTTATATACCAGTAGACGTGTTTTTGCGTTTTTACTTCTCGAACGTAAGCTAAGAAATATTGTGTGTTTTCTTTCATAGTAGATAAATATTTTAGTTCCTTACTCTGCTCTACCTGCAAGCTGGGATACACTTCCCCCGCTGACAATAGCAGTAATAAAACTAGGTACCTACTTATTGTAAACGAAGTAAACGATTCTAACCCTTAGAGATGAGTGGCAGCTGTCATAACGAGGTAGCATGGGTGTTTTACAAGTTGCATATCTTTTAAAATAGAAATTTTCTTGAGGTGTGGTAGAGCCTTAAGGGGACTCGCTAGACGAGGTATAACATTTTTATGCTTTTTTGTATGAAAAAATGATATTAATATAGATGTACCATACATCAAACTGCAGCTTTTTTCATATCCTAGAGCGCAGAGACCAGTTCAATCAATTAAAATATGGCTGAGAAATATCGAAAAAAAAGCACCATTGTATGTTTTCTTTTCAAGTTTTTTGATTCATAACCATCATAGAATCGCTTGAAAATTTGCACATAGATAAAACATCACTTTCTACAGGGCGCAGAGTCATTAAATGTTTGTTAGTGGTACAATTTGTTTAAATAATAATGTGTCCTGAGAGAAGTAGTAGAAAACAAAGAAGTGAAGTGGAATAAGAGTAAGAAGCACCAAGAAGTGTAAGGACAGCAATTATTCGGGAAAGTGTGGAATCAAAAGAACCTAACCTCCGAAGAGATAGTCTGGGTGACAGTTCTTATCGCGGTACGAAGTAAACAACACAGGAACGTACTAGATACACAGGAAGCAAGAAAGTCGGCCAGGGAATGCTAAACCGGAAAAAGGACACAAACTAGCAATAGAAGAACAAGACAACCAGAAACGGAAAAGAGAAACCTCCTTTTCACCATCACCGGAAGGTCAAAGAGAACAGAGGAAGCAGAAGAGGGTACAATCAGGAGACATAGACGAAGTAAAGGAAATGTTCAAAACGTTAATGGAGGAAATCGCAGAAATGAAAAGAGACCAAAGACCATACCAAACAGAAGTAAAAACACTAATAGAAGAAAACCAAAGACTGACCGAAAGATTAGAAAGAGTGGAGCAACACTTAGAAAAACTGGAAAAAGCAGAAAGGAAAAACAACATCGTAATCAAAGGAGGGAAACTACAAGGAAGCGAAATAACAGCAGAGATTGAAGAACTCCTAAAAAATAAGGTAGGAATCCAAACTAAGATACAAGACGCAAGATTAGTCAGCGAAAAATACGACATAGTAGTAGCAAAGATAGAGAACTGGGACACAAAAAGAGCAATCATGAAACAGAAGAACAAATTCAAAGGATCAAAAACGTTTATTGAAGACGATTACACCAACCAAGAGAGCGAGATACAGAAGAAAATAAGAGCAGCAGAAAAAGGGAAGGGAGTCGAGGCAAAAGTAGGGTACAAAAAGATGATATGGGCAGGAGAAGTCTGGCATTGGGACACTAAATTAGACAAATTAGTGAAAGCACCGTCGCACCACAAAGAAAATCCAAAAAACCAACAGAGGAAGAAACCACACACCGGAAAACAAAGACGACGTATACAAAGCTCATGGATGACCCGATAGGAATTACGAAGAGAAAGAAAAACCCGAAAATTAGAATAGGAACATGGAATGTTCCAGGAACATATAGCGAAGGAAAACTCAAACAAATAGTTCAAGAATTACAAAGGTATAATATAGATGTAGCAGCTATACAAGAGACGAAACAAAAAGGCAAATTCATCACTGAAATAGACAACTACATATTATTTAATAGCGGAATTAACAACAGAGAACTAGGAACAGGATTCATGGTGAAGAAGAGCCTGAAAGGAGCAGTAATTACCTTCAAACCAATCTCAGAAAAAATGAGCTATATAAGATTGAGAAGTAAGTACAGGAAAATAAGCCTACTGAATATACATGCACCGACTGAAGAGAAAGATCTAGAAGTAAAAACAGAATATTACGAAGAACTAGAAAGAGAATATGTGAAAATACCAAAGCATGACATTAAAATGGTTATAGGAGACGCCAACGCAATGATAGGTAAAGAGAATTGCTACAGGCCAACAATCGGGAAAGAAAGCAAACACCAAAAAACGAATCAAAATGGAGAAAAACTGATAGAGTTTGCAGAAGAAAATAAAATGGTAGTCAAAAGCACCCTCTTTGCTCAGAAAGAGATCTACAAAGGCACATGGATGTCGCCTGACGGAAAAACGGTCAACCAAATAGACCACATACTGGTAGAAAGGAGAGATGCCCAACTAATAACCAGATTAAGAAGCTGCAGGGGAGCAGAAGCGAATTCAGACCACTTTGTAGTAAGAGCAGACCTCAAACAAGAAATACCGATGAAAAAAGAAGGAAAGAAGACGCAAAGTGATATAAATGTAAACAAACTACGAACAAAAGATGAATGAGAGAACAAGATTAACAGAGCAAGACATACCTATAGAAGAGAGGTGGGAAGAACTACAAGAGAACATTTGGAAGACCTCGGAAGAAGTACTAGGGTTCGTCAAAAAAGACAACAAAAATAGAAACGAATGGTTTGACGAGGAATGTAGAAAAGCAATAGAAGCGGGGAGGTCAGCCAGACAGAAATATCTAAAATCAAAAAATGAGAAGAACCAAAAAGATTACCAAGAAAAAAGGAAAGAGTACAAGAAGAGATGCAGAAATAAGAATCGAGCAAAGATGGAAGAACAAATACGACAAATAGAAGAAAACTTCAACAAGAATGAAATAAGGAACTTCTACCAGGACGTGAAAAAAGAGAAAAGAGGCTATCAACCACGAGTAATATATTGTAGAGACAAGGACGGCAACCTGATAGGAGACGAACAAGCAAGAATAAAACGATGGGCAGAATACTTTGAAGAGCTGCTAAACGAACAGGATACATAGCAAGATAAACGAACGAAAGAGTGAACGACTCGGATGACCCAGATGAAACAATAGAAATTGACGAAGGAGAGATCAGAGAAACACTAAGGCAGATGAAAAACAACAAAAGTCCTGGTAGAAACGGAATAAAGGGCGAGATGCTAACGGAGGAGAAGCAGTAGCATCAGAGATACATCGACTAGTGTTGGAAGGAAGGAAAAATGCCAGAACAATGGAGTGAAGCAGTACTTTGCCCGATATTTAAAAAAGGAGATATTACGAAATGCGAAAATTATCGCGGAATAGCGCTGCTAGACGTAACGTATAAGGTAATGGCCACTTGCATCAACCGAAGACTAAAGCAGCATATGGAAAAAATAGTAGGAGAATATCAAGCAGGGTTTAGGAAAGATAGATCTACTGTAGACCAGATATTTATATTGAAGCAACTACAAGAAGTACATTACGAACAGGGAATCAACTTATATCTGCTGTTCATAGACTTTAAAAAAGCCTATGACACGGTTAACAGGAAAGAACTGCTAGAAGCCATGCAAGAACTGGGAGTCCCAAGAAAACTAATAAAACTGACAAAGATGACCCTGCAGAGCACCAGAAACAGAGTCAGGATAAATGGTCTGTTGTCAGAACCATTCCAAGTAAGAACAGGACTCCGGCAAGGAGATCCAATATCAACTACCATGTTCAATCTAGTACTCGAAGCAATAATAAGGAGAAGTGGCATCCACAGAACGAGCACGATATACGAAAAAAACACCAAAATATAGCCTTTGCAGATGACGTGACATGTATAACGAGAACAGAAGCAGAAATGAAGAAAATGACAAAAAATCTAATCAGAGAAGCGAAACGAATGGGTTCAGCGATCAATCAAGAGAAAACTAAGTTTATGAAGATGGAAACAAAACAAACCCCAGCAAAACCACTGAAAGTAACTACAGAAGAAGGAACAACATACGAATTCGAAGAAGTAAATAGGTTCAAATATCTAGGAGTAGTAATTACAAACAAAAACGAAATGAACGAAGAGATAGAAGAACGGATCGCGAAAGCAAACAAGAGTGTAGGAAGATTAAACAGATTTCTGAGGAGTAAGAATGTAACACGACGAACAAAAAAACAAATATATAAGACAATAGTGAGACCTACAGTCCTGTACGCTAGTGAAACATGGACGCTAACGAACGAAATGGAACAGAAGTTGGAAGTATGGGAACGCAAGATACTACGAAAGATATATGGAGGTATAAAAGAACTAGACCAATGGAGAAGAAGAACAAATCGAGAGATCGAGGAAATATACGGAGAACCAACAATCACGAAGATAATCAGAGCACAGAGACTAAGATGGCTAGGCCACGTCGGAAAGACAATTGGGAAAGTATTAGACCGCCTAAAAGGAGGAAATAAAAAGAGAGGAAGGCCAAAACTGAAGTGGATAGACGATGTTCGAAAAGATCTTCAAAACTTAGGCATTGAAGATTGGAGATCTAAAGCAGCCGACAGGAACAAATGGAAAATTATTGTTAAAAAAAGCCCAGGGCGTTTAAGGCCTGCAGAGCTGAATTATATATATATAATAATGTGTTTATTAAAATCAAAATATACCACAAATTAAAGCAAAATACGTCTAATAATTGTAACAGTAATATCAGAGGAAAATTAATGATCTATTGGTTAGCAGAGTTTTTAACAAAAACTATCAATTATTGAAAAAAATGGGTATCAATTCGACAGATTTTCTAAAATTTACGGAAGCGACTTTCCAGGTAAAACCCTTATCGCCTGCTCTACCATAAGCTGATTGTTAGCGTTCTCGCCGTAGTAATCTATTGTTAAGGAAATTAACTTTCAATTTTTGATGTTTCTAAATTTTTCGATTTCTCAATTTTTCGATTAACTGATTTTTTGATTTTCCGATTTCTCTGTTTCTCGATTTTTCAATTCTTTCTTCAATTGTGATTTTTCAATTTTCCGGTTTCTGAATTTTTCAATGTTTCAGTCTTGGATTTTTTCACTTTTCCGATTTTTCAATTTTCCTTCCATTTGTCAGTTTTTTAGTGTTTCAGTTCTGGGATTTTGCAATGTTTCGGTTCTTCAATTTTTCCATTTTTTGATGTTTCGATTTCTCGGTTTTTCAATTTTTCGATAGGTATTTTAATTTTTCAATTTTTAAGTTCTAGATTTTCCGTTAATTTTTTTGGTTTCCTTGATGTTTTGGTTTGTCGATTATTCGATTTTTCAAGTTCTCGGTTTAGATTTTTTGGTTTTCCAATTCTTCGATTTTTAAATTGTTTAATTTTTAGATTGTTCAATTTCTCGATTTTTAGATTTTTCAATTTTTCGGTTTACCGATTTTTTTTCATTTAAAATGTTTCAATTTTTCAATTATTAACTCTTCGATTTTTCAATTTTGGTCTAATTTGATTTCTTAATTTTTTGATTTTTTGACTCCTCTCCTGTTGATGTTTTGATTTCTCGATGTTTCAGTTTTTGAACATTCCGATGCTTCGATTTTTCGACTTTTTGGCTTGTCGAGTGTTCAATTTTTTGATTTTTGAATTTTAGACTTTTTTGGTGTTTCGATTTCCCAATTCTTCAATTTTTCGATATTTTAATTTTTCAATTTTTCGAATTTTTAAATTTTTGATTTTTATTTTCTTTTATTTCTCAATTTTTGGATTTTTTAAATTTTACACTTTTCGATTTTACTATTTTTTGATGCTTGGATTTCTCAATTCTTCAAGTTTTCAATACTCAAAAACGGCCAAAATATAAACCCCGCCCACCCACCCCATCTCAATTGTGATGATTTTTTTATTCTTAGAAACCTGAAACACGTTTAAAAGGGTAAAAGCGTGTAGCAAATCTGGATTTTGCAATTAGGCTCATCCCCTAGGTCTGCCAACAAATGAAAAATGTATTAGTTTTTAGATAAGGGCAGGATGGCTGGGGCTTAATCTTTGACTTTAATTTTTTTTTTCAATATACCTAGTATTCTTTGAATAATACGATACCCAAAAACATCTCTTTTCACGATTGAGATAGGGCGGGGCTTATATTTAGCCTTTTTTCTTAATATACATTGTCATCTTTTCAGTAACAAGTAACTTAAAACACATTGAAAATGTTAAATTTGTGTAAGGAAATATCGATTTTGCAATTACGCTCCGCCCCTCGGTCTGACAACGAATGAAACATTCATTACAATTGAGATAGGGTGGGTGGGCGGGGCTTATATTTTGCCTTTTTTTAATATACATAGCCATCTTTTCACAACAAAAACTTAAAATATGGTCCAAATGGTAAGTACATTTTTGCAAGGAATCACGGATTTTACAATTGAAGGGTGTTAGGACAAAGCAATGAATGTCACCTTGGAAAGTCTATTTTTTTTTATTGTTGCAGATTATATTTTCATAGCTTACTCAAAAATTGTTCAAATCGAACAACACTTTATTTTGTATGAACATTGAACAAGAAACAAAAGAAACAATAGAAAATGAAATTTGAACGAAGTACCGACAAAAAACTGGGAGAAAATTATGAATGTCCGGCTGCCTGTTCTGTACATATATTTATCTATTGGAAAACGGCGTCAAGCACTTTTCGGTCAATAAAATGAGTGACCAAAAAAAAATCGGGTGGGTGGGCGGGGCCACTTCGAATATTTTAAGCCTAATTCGCCACTTGGCGTACTAAAATTCAGTCTTCATCTAATCAAAAAACTAATGAAATTCAAAAGCGGTGGCGGGTGGGATTAGTTTTAGATAGTTTGTTTAGATTTCGTTGTGATATTTATTGTTTTCTCCCCATCTGGTAAAGTTTTACGTGGACATCCAATGTTTTCTCCCACACAAGATTTTTGTATATGTAATATTATTAAGGACTACCAATGTTTTCTCCCCATTTTACAACATTTAAAAAAAATACTCATTGAATTTGTGTAAAATTCAAATAAAATTACTAAAAAATAATAAGGATGTGCAAAATCGATATTTTCTTATACAAATTTTCCATGTTTTAAGTTTTCATCTTGTGAAAATAAGCCAACACGTATTAAAGCAAAAAGGCAATTCTTCAGTTTTTCGATTTTTCAGGTTTTCGATGTTTCAGTTTTTCAATTTCTCAGGATTTTGATTTTTCAATAATTGGATTTTGTAAGCCTACGATTTTTCGACTTCTGGATTTCCCGATTTTCGGTTTTTCGTTTCTTAAACTTTAGATTTTTCAATTTTCGGCTGTTTTATATTTCGATTTCCCAATTTTTCAATTTTTCGATATTTTAATTTCTCAATTTTTATAATTCTAGATTTTTTATTTCTCAAGTGTTCGATTCTTCTATACACATTTCAATTTTTCATTTTTCGGGATTTTTAAAACATTCGATTTTCCATCAATTTGGTTGAAAATGCAAATCAAAAATTTGAAAAAAAAAGAGTAATAGTTTCGTTGACCAAAATTTCTTCAGTAACCCCTATTTAAAATTTTCCTGGTAACGCCACTGACCTTTTTTCACTAGTTTTGGATCAAAAATTGCTGTCACTAGTTTGCTCTACTCTTATTATTATATTATTTAGGTACACTAACTAAAATCAAAAGTGCAGGATCAAGAGTTAACTTTTTTATTATTTTCGTAAAAAATTGAAGTGTGACATCTAACGTCCTCTCCAGCGTTCTCATTGTCGTTAACAACGTAACCTGTAGATCCAACGACAAGTTTTGAATTTAGTGTTTTTTATGTTGTTCGTGTTATTCGTGTAAATTTGTGCTAAATATCTGTTTACAAATACAAATACAAATAAAAAATAAGGTAAGTTTTCAAAAGTTAGCTAAGTGTATGATTCCATTTTTTGGTGTATTCTTAGTTACATAACCGGCAGGCGGAATACCGATACGCGACACAAGAGGACTCGCAGGATAACCTGGGGCCGGTGAAAGCAGATTTTGGACAAAACTTTGTACATACTCATGGCTTACAACGATGGTAAGTCTTTTAACAACCAAAATGTGCGCTTTGTTTTTATAATAACCGATGCGGAGACGAGACGGTAAAAAATAATCACATGTAAGAAAAAAAGACTAGAGGAGGATGTCGTGCTTTATTTATTTATTTTTGACAACAAACAAATGAAATAATGCCTATACCACCGGTATCCTCGTTCGTGACGAAATAGCGTTGGTGTAACAATATAATGGTATTTCTTTATTATCAATAAGAACATTTATTCCGGCTCCAAATTCGATCAGCCATTCACTCCCCTTGAGTCCTTCATTATTGCTGTGTGCACCTTTTTTAAGCAGAAGCTTAAGGACTTTGTCATTTGGTCTAAAACGTGCAAGATTGAAAGGCGTTATGCGTCTACTATCAAGACACTCAATGACTGCATTATTCTCAAGCAACATTAATACAAGTTCACGGTTATGTACACGACTACATGCGTAGTGCAGAGGCGTTCTTTTGTACTTAGTATCCGCAAGATTAATATCAGCACCATTCGCAATCACTAGTGCTAAAGCACTAGAACGTTTGTTGATACAACAATGATGCACTGAAGTCATTCCTTTTGTATCACGCCAATTAAGTACCGCTGGAGTTAGCTTCTCGATCAGGAAGTTCACTACGGACTTGTGTCCCCATTGACAAGCCATGTGTATGTACATCAAGCCTTTTCGATTGACAAAGTCCAAGCAGGCACCTCTTTCTAGCAACAGTTCGCAAATTTTGTCATGTTTGCCACGAGCGGCGTTGTACAATGGCGTTCTGCCATCTAAATCTTCAACATCGATCATTATATCGAAATTAGTTAAAAAGTTTGCAATGGCGTAGTGACCGTGGGCACAAGCTAGATGAAGAGGCGTTCTTCCGTAGGTATCTACAAAGTTTACGGGTGCTCGGTACTCAATCAACAGTTGAACCATCTCAAAAAAACCTCTAGTACAGCAATGGTGAAGCAAAGTTTGGCTAAAAGCAGTCTCCAAGTGTAAGTGTGCACCATGCTGAAGCAATAGTCTGCAGATCGCGTAGTCTCCTCCAAAACATGCATAATGTATTAATGATTTCCTGTTTGAAACCAAGGAGTTCAAATTTGCGCCGTGTTGTATTAAAAAGTCGACCATTTCGTAATCGCCGTTGACGCAAGCAATTCGAAGAAGACCTTCTTCGTTTTCTGCCAAGAATTTCTCATCTTGCTTTTTCGCTGCTAGCGCTTTCATCACCTTTATTGATTTGTATTGTACGATCTGGTTGATAATAGATCTATTGGAACTATCACGCATCTGCCAGATTTCTTGGCACGTGTCGATCACGTCTTCATAGTCAAAAAGAACACAGTATTGTAGAACCGTGAACATGTTTTCTGCGAACAAATCCGTTCTCTTGTTGGTCTTTTTTGTCAAGAGAATCAAGGGTAAAACTCGGATGAAGTTTGATTCGTGAAACAGCGATTTCTGGTGTAAGACCCTCTGAATTTCTTCTTCTTCACATTTCTGCAACAGTAAAGCTAGGATTTTTCCGTTTACTTCTGGTTCAGGTTTCATGTCGCGAAACTGTGGTGGCTTTTTCACGACGAAAATATTTTCCTTGACTTGGACGTTCACCACCGGATATTTCTCGCACCACAAACAAGCCACTTCTAGCACGGTTCTTCCCCCTTCATCCACTTTACGAAACTCTCCATCTGGAAAACTTTCCACAAGATGGTGGTTCTTATACAACACTGCAACATGAATTGGCGACTTTTTCGCCAAAATCAAATCAAAGAAAAACCGAATATTGTTGTATTTTGAGTCAAAAGTGAAGTTTTGAATGTGAAGGAGTTTTTCTCTGTGTTGTGCAAGATACGCAGCTGCAAAGTATTCGCCGAAGGAGTTGTGGAAGAACTCCGCTTTGTCGCTGACATCTGTGATAAACCCTGCAGGATCCTTATCTACGATGAGTTCTCTCTTAATCTCAAGCTTCTGTAAAACCGTTTCGTCGAAGTAGAGCCTCAAAGCCGATTCTTTATAATAATCTAGTTGATTATTTTTTTCTTTGGTTATTCGCTCATAAACCAAATCGTTCACGTCCTCCATGTTCTCGATCCCTTCCTTCTCTCTAAAGTGGAAGTTAAATTTCTCCTCGACGAAGCGTTCGTACAAGTCGGCGATTGAAAAAATTTCGTCCAATAAACGACTGTATCTGAGGCGATCCCTCAATAACAGTTCCGACAAAATATATATCTGTAAAGGTATCCCTAGAATGTCGTTGTGAGGAAACAGCCGGATGTTGTTCCTTATCTTGACGAAAATCTCGTCCAGTTCTTGGTCCGAGCACTCTAACCGGTTCTTGAGATACGTCTTCTGGTCGTCCTCGTCGAACTCTTTCAACGTTCGTGATAAAACGTGGAAGTAGTTTTCTAGATCCTCACGCAAGAGACATCTGCAAGTAATCCAGTGTTGAGAGTAATCAGCTTTTGACAGTTCCTTGATAATGCTCTTGACTGTTCTGAATCCGTTATCAGACAGTTCGTCTAAACCATCCCAAAAGTACTTGACCCGACCTTCTGCAAACAAAGCTTCTACTACTTGAAAGTCGAAACGACTATTCTGCGTTTTGATTGTGTTGGCTATGTAGGTTTTGAAGTTATCGACATTGTCTCCTTTTTCGCGGAAGTACTTTGAATGATCTCTGACATAAATGAGGACGCTCCAGGTCGTTGGAGCACTGATGTTTTTCAAAGTTTTCGCAAGAGTGGTTTTTCCCATACCGGGGTCGGCACACACGAGATTGATGTTGTCGTCTTCGTACCGCGTCAGCTCCGATTCTTCAATGAAAGTACCACTTAGTAAAAATTGAGTTAGGTTTTGGTTCTTTGTTGAACTCGTGACCCATTCAAAGCCGTCCATGGAAGAAAAGTAACGCAAATGGTAGCAACGTCGTCCACGAGGTACCTTTTTAGATATAGTTGCGAATTCTTCTTTTGATATGTCGTTCTCGCTTAGTACTACGAACTCGTCTTGTTTGGTGCCGGAGTTTGCGTCAGTCAAAAACTCGTCCACGTCGATGGCTTCTACGTGCGGAAATTGCTTTTTGAATGTAGCTATTGGAGACACACAACTGACCACCACTAGACTTTTTTGTAAATCTATTTTGTCTAAGAACTGATACTTGATCACGTTCCTTGACAGAAACCTGGAAATCGGTGACGGTGGAAGATCCTCTGGTTGCCCGATCAAAAGTGCTTCATCTACCATCGCCACAAGTTTGTCTACGTCCAAAATAGCGACGATTTTCTCCCTCTTGTCGATTAAATCTTCCAACTTAATCTCCCGTTTACCTTGAATGGAACAAGTAAACGTCGACAATATCCTCTTGTACAAAATCTTCCATTTCTTCAGATTTAGCAAACTATGAAAAGGACGAAAAACGGAATAACTCACAACCGATTTAACATCAAAAACGATAAACTTTTTTCGTTCGCAGAGACCTATAGCTTTCCGAGTTGCCTCACTGTCTTCTACTACTAAAGGGCATTTACCCAACAACCACAAGAATTTCGTCCATTCTTCGTCGTTGAGGTCTTTCAAAGAGTTGACGCTAAATCCAAAAATTTGGTACTGTCTTGCGCGTTTCAAATATTCCAAATTGTTCACCGACTGTCTTTCCTTTAAACCGCACCACAAATTTTTAACATTAGGGTAAGCTTCACTTGAAAGACAAATAACGTCGAATTTTGAGATAGCTTTTCGTAACAGTTTGGATTTTTTGCCTTCGGCTTCTTGGTCAAAAGACAGAAATCGTGTGGGTGATAATATTAATAACGCAATCACGTGTTTGACGAAAGATGAATGCAGTGTGGTTTTCAGACTCATGTTCTTGCTCCAGTTCCCCACGAATTCTATATACTTTTTAAAAATTAGTTCGTCCTGACAACTAAATTTTGCTACAAAAATCGCTCTGATGTTTTTGTTGATTTCATCAATGGAGTCGCAGTTGGTAATCAAGGTAAAATTTTCAAAAAAGTGTTCATAGTCTTGTAGGGCAGTTGCATTTGTAGCCGCTATTTCAAACCGAAAGTGTTTCTTCTTCTTCTTGATTTTCTTTATGGATACGTTAAACTTCACATTGTTATTCTCCATCACAAGTTCTTTACCGTCAACGTCAAACTTTCTGTTAGTAACAAGAATGAATTTGAAAGTTCCAACAGTCGTTGTTTTTTGTCGATATTCCTCGAAATACTTCATAACGCTAAAATCCCCCTTTTTGGCCGCTAATGCCTGTTTGGTTAAAATTCCTCCAGTGTTTGCGTACTTCAACTGCACTGCATACGTCCCTTTCAGATTAACATCATTAGAATCCACATCAAAAACAGCGTCGTCCATGGATCCAAAATCAGGGTGGTTTGACCACACGTTGAATTTTGTAATTTTTTCATTGTTGATCAGGTTCAACAACAGACGTGCAACGTAAAGTTCTTCGAATAGCCCTCCATCGTCGGTGGTTCCAGGACGTTTTTTAAAGACCTGTAGATTGAAAAATAACGCTTTTATAACTGTAAACACACGTAATGGTGGAAAAGTAACTTACGAAAGAGGGCCCACTTAGGTCCAAGAGGTTCTGATAAAACTGGTTAAGGCTATTGTTATTCTGTGAAAAAGGAAAAAAAAATGATTGACCTCTATAGACTTGGAAATTGTAACTTAGAAAATGAAAAATGTTTGTGAATAGATTTACCTGTGAGCCACTTGTCGACATATTATGTAACGGCCGTTCGTCATTTGAGGGAATTACTGGTTGAGGCAACTCTAGAACTAATACTTGAGTTGTGAAGAGTTTCTCCAAAACTTGTCAAGTTAGACCAATTAAGCGGTAACGAAACACCGTGTTATTTGTTTCGTTTAAAAATAATGAGATAAACGTGTTATTAATGTTGCCAACACAGTTTTTGACATTAAATTTCAATGCTTACTAAACGACTTTTTTTCTCGATCATATGGTACTATATCAATA